ATCTATCTATCTATCTATCTATCTATCTATCTATCTATCTATCTATCAGTATTATTGTATGCTGGAGAAGCTCTCCCTGGTAGGATAACATACTCCCCCAACCATTAATCATGTGCTCAAGGGGGATATCTTGCATGTCAGGTAGTCCTCGACTGACAACAGTTCATTTAGTGACCGTTCAAAGTTACAATGGCACTGAAAAATGTGACCTACAACCATTTTTAAACAATTACGACCTTTGCAGCCTTCCTTGCATGCAATTGCATGCTTGGCAACTGGTTCATGTTCATGATGGTTGCAGTGTCTCGCAGTTGTGCAATTACCTACCTTCTGACAAGCAAAGTCATTGAGGAAGCTGGATTCACTTAACAACTGGGTTACTAAGTCATTGGCTGCAGTGATTCACTTAACAACTGTGGCAAGAAAGGTCGTAAAATGGGGAAACAAATTTCTTAACGGAAATTTTGGACTCAGTTGTGATCATAAGTAGAGGAATACCTGTAGAGAGGGACATCTTTTTTTGCATCATCTTGAACAGTGCAACAGGTGTACAAGCAGTTTGCCAGTGAAAATGCAATGATATGTACTTGGGCTGTTTGTGGTTCAGCCAAAGTGGGGAGGCTGAAAATGCACATGTGTGACCCTCATTCCATTTCTTATATTTAATGTGGTTCCTGTGGTTGGAGTGGATTTCAGGCCTGGCATATCAAAATTTTAGATGACCAGATCATGACCAGGTCATTTCCCTGTAATGTTGAAGTCATTCAACAACTGGTACCTTGCAAGCCACTGAAACATTTGGCAAGGTTCTTTTTTTAAAAAAAAAGTATGCACAAATCATGCCAAAAAGTATGTAAAGGATTAGTTTTATAGCTGGGCAAGATTCTACAAATGGAGGCAAGAATGAGGACATTTGGGACGGAATAATCACAGACAGTGCAAATTTGGGAACCAGGTTGGAGCAAGGGAGAATGAGTCTGCCTGCCCTGTCCAGACTAGTTAAAATCGTAAGGTTTTATTGTTTTATTATGTTATTATGTCTTAGTTCACATTAGGAGTTGACCGCCATGTTTTGGTTTCAACTGCCTTCAGGGCCCCCCCATACCATCTCCAATGGAATTGTGTGGGAGTTGAAGTCTAAAACATCTGGAAGGCACCAGGTAGGGCGCCCATTCTAGTTGGCACCTCATGAATCAGAATCACACACCCTTTAAAAAAAAAAGGATTCGGCTGTAGCACCTCCACCTCCTCCCGATAACCCCGGAGAGCTTGAGCTCTCCTGGCCAAAGGCACTTTCTATCACCATCTTTTTGATAAGGACCTGCTGGGCTTCCTCAGTCTTTTCCCTCATTGGTGCAGAAGAACCCGTAGTCCAGGTTCAAGAAGGCGGCAGGGTCCTTATCCGTTCGGTCACTTAAAAGTCTCTTGGTTCTCTCCCCCCCCCTCCCTCGCGTCATTTTGCGGAGGCAGCGGACACACACAACTCAAACACGCTCACACTCACACCCTTCCACCCGCGGTCCGAGAGGCCCTTATCAACCCGCCCTCTCCGGCAGAGCGCGGGGTTCTCTGCGGGCGAAAGGCGTGAGTTGAGCGCGGGGGGGGGGGGAGGCTCCGCTCAAGAGAGAGAGGGGAGAGGCTAGGAGACCTGGGGACGAGGGGCGGCGTGCTCGCCAGCCCGCATCTCTTCAAGAGCCATAGGGAAGGAGGGAGCCGTGGGCCAAAGGAAAAAAGAAGGCACACCACCTACTACTCCGCGTGGAAAAGTGCCAAGGCGAGGGCGGAAAACGAACTCTTTGCAATCTCCAGTCTTGGGAGAAAACGCGCGGGTGGAGGGGGCGGAATCGCGAAAGCCTCGGAGAAGCAGCGGTAGCTCTGGCCTTCTTGATTCGGGTTGGCTTTCTAAAAAATTGAAGAGGAGGAGGAGGACGAGGAGAGGGAGCTCCTGGAAAAGTCGTGCAGCCAGCAGTCGCCAGAGAGAGGGGAGGGAGGGAGAGAGAGAGAGAGAGAGTAGTAGTAAGGAGGGAGGTGAACTGGTCGGTGAATGCAAACAGCCGCGGCGGCAGTCCGGCGTCCCCTGGAAAGCAGGACCGCTCAGAATCCTGCCCACGCCGCGAGGGGAGGGGTGGGGGGGGTTTGGTGGTGGGGGTGTCGAAGAGCAACAGCCGCGGGAGGAGAAGGAAGGGAAGCCGGCAGAACCACCTTGAAGACGTCCAGCTGTCCCAGGCGCGTCTCGGGATCTGTCCTGGCGCCGGCACGCGCGTATACACACACACACACACACACACACACACACACGGACACACACGCATCTCTACGCACGTGGGCGCTTTTCGCCTCCGCTCGCGGCTGGACACCAAGCCCCTGTGCAGAAAGGGGGGGGGACCGACGCACTGATTCCCAGAAGGGGGGCATCCCCCCCCCACCCCGGACCTCCTTTCCTCCGCCTGCCAGTCGGTGCCATCTCAAGTTGGAGCGTGGGAGCTTGTGGGCAGCAGGGCGCCCAGTCTCTGGAGCCCTCGCTTTAAGTGGCGGCCAGTTTCCCTGCTTTTCTTCCCTCCTCCACGCACTTCTTCAACTCTTTAAGATTTTTCTTTTTGTATGTACCAGGCGTGATTTCCCCCTCCTCCCCTCAACGTTTTTGGGATTTTATTATCTCTTTTCTCTGTTTGGTAGCCGGGAAGAAAAAAAGCAACACAGTTTCCTGTTTTTAAGCAACATTTGCAACCTGTTCCATTTCTTTTATTATTATTATTATTATCATCATTCTTATTAGGCGCTATCTATTGCAGGTTATTATTATTTTTGTTTTAATAGAAAGCAATTGCTGGCTTGAACCCGCCACCTTTGCTGGAGCATCTCATCTGCTCGCAAACTCACTCTTGGACTTGCAACCAATTCAAGCAGTTTGGCGGACCGGCCACTTGGCATATGCTATCTGGACTCGCGATCTGTTGCATTTATTCTTTCGATCCTTCGGGTTGTTGTTTTTTTATTTGTTTTTTGTTTTAAAGAAGATCTGAACCTTGTTTGCACATCTTAAACTGCCGCGGAGAAAATTCCAGGAAACATTTTGGTCCTTTCTTTGTGGGAGAAGCCGAACGAAAAGAAGCGTGTTTTGGGTTTTATTTTATTTTTCACCTTTAAACCGTTTTTTTTCCCCTTCCCAAAAATGCACTGCTATCTCCTGAGCGTGTTCGTCACCCTGGATCTGGCCACGGTGGCCTTTGCTCTCTCTACGTGCAGCACCCTAGACACTGACCAGTTCATGCGTAAGCGGATCGAAGCGATCCGAGGCCAAATCCTGAGCAAACTGAAACTCACCAGCCCCCCGGAAGAGTACCCCGAGCCCGAGGAGGTTCCTCCGGAGGTCATCTCAATCTACAACAGCACAAGGGACTTGCTGCAGGAGAAAGCGAACCACAGAGCAGCCTCTTGTGAAAAGGAAAGGAGCGATGAGGAATATTACGCCAAAGAGGTTTACAAAATTGACATGGGGAGTTACCACCCTTCGGCAAGTAAGTCTGCTCTGAATAATTGTGTGTGCCTGTGCCAGGTGGAGCTTTGTTGCCGCGGGATTGCATAATGGGCTTGATGGGGTGCGAGGAGGAGTGGAGAGGTTGTCTCTGGTTACCTTGAAGACCTCTCAGGTGGGGTGAGAGGTCCCACAGAAATGGCAAGGGGGTAAGTCCAGAGCGTAATGCAGCGGTGTTGACATTCCAGACCCCTCCCCCACATCTTATAAATGTAACAAGGGCTTTCCTCCGCAAAAAGGGAGGATGTTGACAGAGCCACCTACCCGTTTTATTTCTGTAATACTTGAACAGCACAGCACAGCTAGCAACATGAGTCCTCAGCTTGAAAACCCAAGGAAGTGAGCTAAAGTTTGATCAGAGAGGTGTAATGGATAATCAGACTCTATTTGGAGCTGAACCCTGGGAATGTTTTGACTGCTGAGAGGTGTAAACCTGGGACACATAAAGTCAGAAGAGATGCGTGTGGCTCTGAACATCTTTTGCCCTTCTGTGAGTACTAAACCCTGCACAGGCAAACCGATAAGCACTTGCAAAGGTTTCTTTTTAGCAGAGAACCCAAATGCAAATTGGGCTTTCCCTCTCAAGAACATCCCCATAAAGCTTTTGATAAAGAGTACATAACATCCCACCCCACCCCAATTTGGCCGGCTGGTGTCTTTGAGAAGCAAATATATCTGTAAGACTCCTTTGTCTGGTTCTCTCCTGTCATTCTTCCTTGTATCACATTTCCTCATATTCTTTCAGTTGGGAATTCCATTTCCCTGGTGCTTTCTCCTTAGATACTCCTCAGCGCTTCATCTGCTGCAAGTCCCTGATCTTTCTCAGAGAACACCTGGGTCAACAAACCTCACAAATGGGATTAGTTTACTTGTTACCCTCTGTCGTTCCCCCCCACCCCCAATCTCATATTCCCATCCTGTGGTCTCCTCTTCTCTAGCCACTGCTGGATTATCTTGGAATTGGGCAAGTGGGGAGAACGGAGAAAAACAAGAGTCATCTCTAATCCTAAAGCTCGAGATTTTCTTTCCTACCCCAAAATTATCTAAACCTGGAAGTTCTACTTTAAGTTTCTCTTTTCAATTTAATAGTCCGTCATATTTGTGGTCATCTTCTCTCCAGGTACAAAATAAATCTCCCTCCAACCTTTTTTTTAAGGCCAGCTTTCTGGACACAGCCTAAGGAATGTGTCAGCTGGAACTGATTAGATGGACTTTCTTCTGAAGATCAGGGCGAGCTTGAAGAAGTTGGCTTCATACAAATCTAAAGGCTGAGCATTAAGGGCTGGCAGTGGCAGACTTGAATTCAAATTGCAGCTCTAGTTTGGACTTGCTGTTGGGCTGTGGCCAAAAAGGTCTAGTCAATTAGAGTGCTTATATACCCCAAAAGGCGAGATATAAATATAAAAGTAACAATGCTCTGCATTGTAAGCACAAACAACTCCAGCCCAGTGGAGTTATCTTCACATAAGGGTGCACAACATTGCAGGGTTATACTGCTATCCTATATATATATATATATGTCTGTTCAGAAGCAAATTGCATTAAGTTCAGTGGATTTTACTCCTAAGGTAATTTTAGATAATGTTGTAGCTTTAGCTCTCTGAAATAGTGGACTTTTTTGCTCTTTAGAAAATCAGATTATGAAATCTGTGGAAGTCTAATAACTGATTATTGTGGTCTGAAGCAGAATTGGAGCAATTTAGAACAATGTTTCTCAACTTTGGCACCTTTAAGATGGGTGGACTTTAAAATGGGTGGACTTCAACTCCCAGTATTCCCCAGTCAGCACATGCTGGCTAGGGAATTCTGGGAGTTGAAGTCCACCCTTCTTAAAGTTGCCAAAGTTGAGAAATACTGCCTTAGAACAATAGCCAAATGTAGGTCAGAGTGACAAATTTTCTAGGAGGAAGAAAAGGATCGGATCTCAAAGTGTTCACTGAAGTGCTCACTGATTAACTTTTTGCTTCTGCTTCTGTTATATGGAGCCTATATACTGATACCTGATCATCTCTGAGAAGTGGGTAATGGAGAAGGCATTGCAGTCGTCTGGGTAAATCTCCATACTAGATTTTCTATCTCAATATTCTATTTCTTTTGACTGTTACAGAGGTGTAGCTTTGAGGCTTGCTGGGGCACGCCAATGAGAGTCAGGGAGCAAGAGTGCCAGCCAGCAATTTCTGCACCCACTTCTCAGTGAGCTGCCTTCTCTTCTTCTTTTTTTCTTTTTCTTTTATTGTCAAATGACAATCCAAGGAAGAGGACACCCTGGGAATCAAAGGGCTTTATTATTGTAATTAAGGCACCATCCAGAAGTCTATGATAAACACACTCCACCCTTGCTGCCCTGAGAGAAAAAAAAACATTTTGCAGAATGTGCTGGAGCCAAGGAGGGATGTGCAAGCTCTCTGGTATAATTTGTGGCAATAATGCTGAAATGCAGAAGAGCACTCAAGACATTAGAATGCACACGTACATATGTACGTGTACACACATCCACACATGCAATTGCCTGCCCCCCTCCCTGTGTCTTAACATGCAAAAACTCATTTCTTTGGAGACTGTTTACCATCTTAAATACAGAGAGAAAAGGTTAAAGCCCTCCCAATCTCTTTGATCACGTTTCTGAGGTGGCTGAGCCATAGAAAGAGGTGGGGTTATCCAGAGTGAACGATTTACAGCTATGCATTCTTTTCTTTTTTTTCTGGAAAGTTTAACTATCCGTGGAAAATGAAGGCTTATCTTAGCATGAATGCAAAAGTTGCCCTGATGCTTTTGGATCCCTTTGCCTGGACTTGAAATAGGACAGCAGGAAAGGACAAGTGGAGGTTGCAGGCCTTGGCCAATAGGGAGCATCAGATGTTCAAGAGCCCACAGCTTGCTTGCTTGCTTGCTTACTGCAGCCGGGCTTCCTGTGCAAATACTTGGTTGAGAAGATCAGAGTAAAAAAGTTAACCATTTTTCCACTGCTCTCTAGTTATTCGTTAGGCTGGGTGAGCCGCTCTAAAGGGAAAAAAAGGCATACACAACCAAGAAGAAACGGCTACAATATAAATGAGAAAACACAAGGCTGGGCTGCTCTGCACCATTTCCCTTCGGCCTTAAAAGGTTTAAGTCTCTACTACCAGTCAAGCAGACAATGTGATGGTGGTGGGAGGGGAGAAGATCTCCACAAACATACTGAGGTCATAGAGTAAAAGGCCTGGGAAAGAGTAATCATTCAGGGTTTTCTTTTTAAAGAAACTTTTTTTTAAAAAAACCACAGAGACATTAGCATTCGGTAACAGACTATAGCTCAAATATTACAAATATGCTCTAATTATACTCATAGTTGGCTATATATCACTGCGCAGATCCCTGATAGGTCTTTGAGGGACATTTCGTAAAGTTCAGTGTAAATATTTTTAGCAATGAAGAGATTTAAAAGGAAAACTCAGATATATTGTATATATCTCAAGGCATATTTTGTCTTCAAAATTATCTTTGGCCAACTGTACTATATAAATACAGTAAATATGAATAGCCATGGCATGGTGCCAATCTCCTGGGATGAATTTTAGTCAGAAGGTATTTATGGGATATGCATAATACTGTGTCAACATTTAAAGAAGGAACCTGATTAGCTCAGAATTTATTCACATTAAACTTTTCATGTGCTGCTGGGTTAAGACTTGAAGTGGAATTGTGCTAAAATTTTTGCCAGTTCATTTGCACATGGGGAATAAAAGGGCCTTTGGCTTCTCGTGGATGGGCTTGAAGGAGCTCTAAGAGATATTAGGATTAGTTTCCTAATGTGTCCCCAAAACCATTGAACTGGATTTTCTGTGAAATACGCAAAGACATGCCAGTCTGATTCCTTTCTTTAACCTAGCTCCTGTATAAGAATACCCAGCGAAGTCTCTGGATAGATAGATGTCTATTAATTTAGAATAAATAAATATATATTTTTGAATCATCAGTTTGTATTAGCCTTCTGTCTCTACTTCTTACCCTGCTAGAAAATCCTCTTTTGATTGCAATGGATCTGACTTCCATCTAAAGCAGGCGTGTCAAACTCGTGTTGTCATAGCATCGTCACATGTCATACCACGACTTTCCCCCCCTTTGCTAAAATGGGCATGGGCGTGGCCAGTGCATGACCCATCCGGTGCGCAGGTTGCGAGTTTGACACCCCTGATCTAAAGGCTGTACATAAAATATTTATTACAACACTTTATCGGTTATTTTCTTTCATGCATTTCATAGGAGCATGCCATAACAATTAACATTTAAAATAAAAGACAGCTGATAATGCTGCTAAACATTGATCTGTCTGTCTGTCTTGTGCTAATTGCATTCAAATGATGTCGGAGTAAAGCACCTTTCTTAAATCAGTTATTCATTCTTAATATAAAAATACAACCAGCTACAAACTGGTATGAATATAACATCTCCCTCCCCCCCCCCCCCCTATATATATATATATATATATATATATCATACTTTTTAGCAGGTTGATCCTATTAAACTTAGTGGAACCTCCACTCATATTAATGCACGCGCGTAGTTGAGCAAAAGCAGACTTCCCAAACCCAATACTTTTTGGGGATGTGCTGGGATTACAACTCCTGCTTGGGAAACAGGCTGGGTGGGGGCTGGTAAAGGCTGGGCAAGAGCGTGCTCTTCATTTTGGTGTAATCCAGTTGAGCTGCTTCACATCATCAAATACATTTTCTGCTATGCATACACAGACATTAGTCACTCCTACAGCTTTTCAAGTTCGCATATAAAGCTAAACATAATGTCCACAGTATAACTGTGCTTGAAAAGAAGACCTGACGCTGGAGCATTTTGGATATTCTTACATATCTTTTTAGTTCAGTGTTGATTTATAAGTTGCGCAAGGTTCCAAGTGTAGTACCGGGTTTGAGTACATCAAGCAGAAATCATTCATTAAGTGAAGCAGAATCAGTGGCCTTCTAGGTGCTGCTGAACTACAATATTCCT